TACTTAGGCTTGGTTCGGAACGTTTTATAATAAAACCGCTCGTGTCTGTTAGTATCAACAAGAAAAAAAAACTTATGTTTTGTATTTTCTTTATAGTAAATTCAAAATTAAATTGCATATTCGTAAATTAGACAACATGGCGTCATTGTTAGGACTTGTATGAAATAGTCATTTGATAAAAAACTTTATTCAGCGTCAATATCCAAAAAGGTTCTACATTTAAATATTGACCTTAATTGCAAGTTATCTTTTAAACATCCTTAAATACGGGTTTTGTGTAAAATGTAATATTTTTTTATGACCCGTCATTATTCGTACTAAAAACAAATTGTAGTTTAACACGCAGTTATCAATTACAATAATTGTTAGGTATTGACTTTATGATTAATGTTTTGTTTATTTTCAGGTTTCAATGGAGACTGCGATGCGAATAATTATTTTACACATAACACAGCTCCACATACTATACATACACTTACATCACATCTGTAATATTCATTTCATAAAAGAAATAGTTACGTAACCAATGAGAATACTTGGACTAAAATGTTTAATCACAAAATGAAATAAAATAATGTGTTTATTTCCGGAGAAATTAATAAATTAAAAATGTGACATGTGATAGAAATACAATGCAATGTAATTGGAATACATACTTATTTATACAAAGTATTTTTATAAGAAACATTTAATTATTAAATCAGAATGAAAATATAAACTAAGAAAGAAACAACGGAAAAACGGACTTTAAAAATCCCGAAAAAGGTTTACAATTTAATTTCAAGTTTACATATAGTGCAGTTTTTTTTCGGCCAGTCTCATTACGACATGATATGGGTGCCAATCGCCATAATCCGCACTAGTTCTCGGCTCTCGACTGTGAATCAAGGCTTAGACCGTGTACCTTCGACCATATCTCAAATGAATCTTTAGCCGCAATCAAATATTGCTCACTGTCAAATACATTATATTTAGGGAATAAATAATAACCTATTTTCTGCATGGCTGACGCACAAACCGTGCAGGCCAAGAAAGGGAAAAAAATAAAAATAATAATAACCTAACCTAAACCAAATTCACTCATCGTAGATTTGATTGTGGGATAGATGTGATGCATAAACTAAAAACAATAAATATGTATTGATCCTTCACTATAATTTCAATAGATGACTTTAATTAAAAACACACCACTATATGAATTCCCCGATAAAAAAAAACACAAAGTCACATCTAACTTTTGCCTAATTTCGTTTTTATTCAATTATGGCGAATATTATTGAGCCAAAAAATATTTTTTAAATACTGTATATTTTACGAGTTATTTAAATAAACAGCACCTCTCATCTCACGCGAACTCAGGCATACGTTTGTTTCAGTAGTCACTAGAGTGGGCGAAGGGAGAAACTATGAATTTTGCTAGCCTAATGCGCGCTCTTAATACTCGTAATAGATATAGGTTTTATTTAATGGTACTGAGTTTTGAGCTTAGAAAAAGTTTGAACATGACGTAACAAACAGGTCAGCTGATATTAAATACGTCGTGATACTGTAATTAATTAAACAATATTATTTGTTTTCTTAATTGGCGCCGACAGAAAATAATCATATTTCTTTTTGACATCCGTTATAATCATTGTTATTGAATTATTTGATGGACCAGACATATTATCACATTCCTACAAAATATAGACATATTACTTAGATTTTTTGTAAATTATTAATTATTATTCTTTGTTAATGTCTCCGTTATTTTGATTACATAAGTAGCTTGTATTATTTTTTATCATTTACACAGTTCGAAATATATTGAATTTGACATGTTTTTAATTAAAGTTAAACACACACAATATATTCTTCATTCATAACTTCTACAGATAACAAAATACTTGAACACATCTTAATCTACACAAATGTTATTAAATGTACGCTGTGCGCAATGTATCTTTTATTTTCTAGCTTTAGTACTCAAGAGTGAAGACCCGGGAAGAATGAAGAAAATGAAACTTCAAAATACGCTTTCCAAGACCAACCACTTAATTATGTTGCGCCTGCGTTGCATTTGCGAATGTTTCTTAATCTCAACTCCAAATTGGTAAGTTAATAGTATAATAATTTTATATTTACTGGTTCTAACCTTTCTTGGCCGTAAATAGGTTTTAGTTCTCTTGGTCTTTTAGGAAAGGAACTTCCTTCTATACATAGGTGTAGTTTTCGTCAGCTACAAGCTGATTATCCATACGACCTTGCAATCTAAGTTGAAGTGAAATACCTTTTAATTTGAAACATTCTGTCACCGCGTGCCCTGGAGTCGTGATGAACGCAAGTCGCATATTTCCAGCATAATTTACATAGAGATAGATTGGTGTCCCGCGGGCCGAGCACCCGTTGAATTCCTATTGTTTAGATTGGAAAACTAAGTGCATCGAAACGACTTTCCTCTCACGTCATTATTAGATTGCAGGTATCACAGATAATACATGCAGATAATGTCATGACAGAATTGTGTGCATATTGTCTATTCGTATTCGAATTAGGAACGTATCAACCACAAAGGGAATTTAATAATTGATTAAATGAACATTGCCCATTACGGGGACAATCGAAATCGTTGAGGCTAGATGTCGATGGGGTTGAGAACGAATCGATTTCCTAATAGCAGTGTGTGCCGACCCGGCCCGTCGAGATTGACTCATTTGCACTGCATTACATTACCGAGTGACACGATACACCACTCTCATTCCCTTGATGAACTTATTGCATTTAAGCGATAAAAATCTCTACAATTTCTTTATAAGATGAAAGTGGTATCTAATTTAGCAACGGTACATTATTAAACGAATGTGGCTTATAACACATGTTTGTGTAAATTACCTGACCGACTGAAATCATATGCTTCAGAAGGATTTGGACTTTAGTGGATGAATTGGACTTTTATGTTTTTTCTTAACGCCTAAATTTACAAAGGAATGATATTATTTTATAACAGTACGCAAAATATTAACGTTTTAATCGTGTTTCACGCTTACGCGGCAAATAATTAATGTAGTACGTACCTATTGATTAGAGTTGCTTGTTTTCGGATTCTATAAAGGACTAGAAGGCCAGATGCTGATTTATTGCCTAGTTCATTGCCCCGTGATTATGAGGTCACCAATCTGGTTTCTATGTCCAAACAGCCGCCGAAATTATTATTTAATTTTTACCTATAATTTCATCGAAAACTTATGAAATATTCTAAATCTAGTCAATTTAAAGAAATGTTTTAAAGTGCCCGTTACTAGTTTATTATGTTATTTGTTTCGGGGGGAAACAAATATTTACAAAAGAAATAAAAGTTTGCTCAACGATGGTATCGTGTTTTATAAAAAAGGTGTTTACAATAAAACATAATAAATTAACACAAATAACTTTTTAAAGTAGGCAAATTCATAAATAAAAAATAAAAATGGTAATAAATATTTTGAAGATTCTCCCTACATGAGGCGCCATCTATCTAAACTGTCGAAAAATAAAACAAAAGTATGTAGTCTGTGAACTAGAAACATTTAGTCTTGTTGCCTATAGATGGCGTTGAGTACGAACAACTAGATCGGATCAACTCGAGAGATGTGCAAATCTTTCGCGATAACAAAAATGTCAAGGCCACAACACTAGGCAATCTAACCTATAATAAATTGTTTTAATACGTAATTTATATGTTTTTTAATGTAAGTTTAGTGTAATTCATTTTAATGTTACTAATCAATAACTAATATTTTTACAACATATTCAGATCTTTAGTGTCAAATTCGTTTTGATTTTATGCACATCAAACATAACCTATTTAATCTGTCGGCTATCGTCAAGGTAAACGCATTCACACGTTGCAAATATCCTCTAGCACACGACTTTGATCAAATAGTTGGTTAAAAATTCTAAATACTGATAAAGATATAGTAAAGTTTTATGCCATGAATTAAATTGTTTAAAATTTGTGCAAAATTTAAATTTACCGCGTCATAGTTACGTATGAAGTTCGCTTTGCGAATAGTGGCCGATTATGATGTGAAAGATATTCCGAAGGCCGTGAGGTGCCGTGAGTGAACACGGAAATCGAGATGTGTGTGTGGTCAAAAAGACAGTGCAAGGTAGGGGTCGGGTGGCGTTTGTGATGGCAAAATTTTTGCAAATGGTGAGTTAGGAAATATTGACTTTGTGTGTTTAGCAGTTGTTTTCGACTCGTGTTAGTGCATTAATTGTGTGTTATAAAAATTTTCGTTGCTGTTTGTTCATATTTTTAAGATCTAAGATACGGGATCGACAAATGGCGCTACTAATAGTCAAAAGTTGACACAACTACGCGTTCAGAAGTCCCGTTCGTCCTTCCGTCATCAATTTTCAGGCACGCGGAGTGTTTAGTGACAATATTATTAGTGGTGCTTCGAGGAATTTCTGAAACCAGCTTCAAAGTTATCAATTGGCCCATCCAGCTTGGCGAAAATAACGGTGTCAGCATGTTGCGATTTTTTTGGCTAATGGTACTACTACTTTCGTAAACTCGTTTTATAGACATCTAGAGGTTTTAGCGTCCTGTAGGGTCGGTGGCCCCGCAGCCAGCATTGGAAGCTAAATTACATAATGTATGGGTCTCGGTTAGTGCATGCAACAAGTAGATATGTGTCGGCGCTCGGCGGTCTAACTGTCAATGTGGAGTACAGTAAGTTCGCTGCCCGCGGCCCCTATTAATTCGAGCCGCTGATGTCACTTATCTCTCGCTCCACTATCGAGGCCCTATGGCCGCCAATTTTTGCTTGATGACTACAGTGCAAATTTGATAACCAACATACGTGCCTAGTTATTTAGATCTCGTAACATATCTAACAGCTAGCTGGCTTCAGTTCTGTGAAGGTTTGGGGCTCTACTTAATTTTGGCATTTGCGATTGGTGTATCAGATGAGAGTAATGTTAAGTTGCTAATATATACATTTTTTGCAGCACGGTCACTGACATTAGCACCAACAATGGACCAGCAATTTTGTTTGCGCTGGAACAATCACCCAAACAACCTCACTGATGTCCTAGCAAGCCTTTTACAGAGAGAAGCACTATGTGATGTCACACTGGCATGTGATGGTGAAACAGTCAAGGTAATATTCTAATCTATAAAAACATATTTTGTTACACTAATCCAAAACTTGTTGGCTACAATAGTTTAAAATTATATTAAACAATTAGTAGATAATTGAAATACTGTTATAATATGTCATTTGTTTACAATCATTATGTCATAACAAATTGCATTCAATAGTAAACAAACATTGATTAATGTTGTTAACATATTTTTACTACTACTTATTAAATAAAGAATCAGATTAAATATTTTCATGACTGCTTTAGTAATAAATATTTTTTATTTACTTATATATTTGATTGTATAGTAACAATTTTGCAATAAAGTATCAAAATAAAGAAATCACCGAAATTCCAGTCAAGGCAGACTACATTGTAGATTTTAATTGTACAAGGCTATTCTTACAAGATTGTATTTTAGGTACTACATTAAAACTACTAGCTTCCTGGCAGATAAAAATTTTCATGAATGATATGTAAGATCATTTCTTAAACTCATTTATAAGGAAAGTTTATGCTAATAAAATGCAATTTGTTTTGTAGGTCATCAGTGAATAGTTATAGGAGTTTGCAAAAGACTTGCATGTTTTTACTTTCTAATTTTTAATGCCACATGTTTGGCAAGTTTTAGGGTCTAGAGCTATAAATTGATGTAAAGTCATCTAAGATAAATTGAGCCCCAATTAGTAGGCAACACGTCTTAACTTTCTCTGTATGATACATGTAATTTCTAAATGCTTGATTGTAACAAGCGGTTTCCTAATAAATAGGAGTATATTTTGAGAAAATATTTTTGTTTCCTTCTCTGTAAACTAAGACACTTGGCAGTCATATCTTTTTCTATATTTACAAATGACTAAGTTTAACATGTAATGTTGTGTACAAGAATGTAATTCTTTTTGAGAGGAAATTAAGGTACTCCTAGTGAATAAATTATAAAAAAATTCAAACAAGCAGTTCAAGAACCCTCTGTGATTTAGTGGTTAACAAACGTGGCATATACCAATCCTAGGTTTGATTCCTGCCGAATAGTAATTATTTGTGGTTGGCACACTGAAGGATGATCACCCACTTGTCTTAGAACATAATGAATAACGCAATAATATATCATGCCCCATTGTTTCCCAAGGTTATGTGTCTTCTATTTTAAATAACAAAACCTTGAATAATAGATGTGCAAGTGAAAAGGACAAAATTTAGTGTTTCTAGATTATCATTCATTGTATGCTGAAATACTATGCCTCATTAATAATTTTTTGTAAAAAAAATGAAATAGGTATATTTAAATATACTTCCTAAACTTAACCATTCATTGCCTAATTATAATATGAATGTGTGCAAAAGGAATATTTTAAGAGACAAGGTCTCCATAATGTTCTTAACAGAAAAGACCTTCATATTCATGCATAGTTTGTCTTAATTTTTGTTTGTTTATGCTGTATTAATATACTGACAATTGGCCGAGGCTGATTCCAAAATTTAAATGATTTTAAGTATATGAACTGGTAACATTTTCCTAAATAATGAAAAAAACATTTTAAAACTACCAGAGATTGACATCCAAACATTTTTATAATCTAATAATTTTTAAGGCTTCATTTATCAACTTAAAATACTATTATAAACGTACCTATAACATTAGTAAGTCATTTGGTAAGTAAGTTTATTATTATGGTAGGTTTAGTCACATAATATTAAAAGATAAATAAAAAAAAAGTATTTTTTATTTTGTAGCTGTAAGTTACAATTATATTATAATATTATTTCTCTATGCTAGAAATAACTTCATACTTAATCAAAATTTAGGATGTATTAAGGCCGCATTGGAGATATTTGTTTCCACATATTTAAAAACTTTCAAAACAAGGATTAAATACATATTAAATACTTCACGGAACTCGTCGATGTGGTGATATACTGTATATACACTATTGAGGAATAAAACAAAGAAATCTTAAATTTTTAAGCATGTTCTAAAACGAGTAAATATAATAATAATTTATTGCTTTCGCGATCTCTAGGTAGGTAGGAAGCTAGCGTTTGTGCTTGCGCATGCGCAGCTTTACGGAAACCAATTATAATTAATGGAGACAGGTCCTAGTACAATTTAAGGTTTTAAAGAAACAATAATGACTTGATTACTGGCAATGGGGCTGGTCTCGTTCCGTAACCGACCGATAAGCATGTGACAAAATCCTACTTCTATTCAATTATACTATTATTGTTTCGGCGGGAATCGAAAACTGTATCATGTAAAATTAAGTGATATCCAATTTGTATCACCGAATATTAATATTTATGCTGGCTACAGTAGAAGATCACCAATTTTTTTAACTAACTGATCATTATTTATTTTATGATTTAATTCGTTTCTGTTTCGTTTAAGACAATATTTTTAGGTACTAGTCTTAAGATGTTCCAATTTTGTTCTAGGCACACCAGACGATTCTCTCAGCATGCTCCCCCTATTTCGAAAGTATATTCATGCAAAACTCACATCCGCATCCAATTATATTCCTAAAAGATGTGAAATTCTCAGAAATAAAGTCATTACTGGACTTCATGTACAAGGTAACTGTTTCTACTTATAATTACAAAGTTTCATTCAACTTTCAGCAATGTATAATATAAATTATATGGGCTTTTGTTCGTTCTTTGTCTATAAATAAATCGATTACAATTCAATTTCTTAATTTTTATATTTGTTCAATGAATTTATCTCTCGAATCTGTATAAAATTTAATAAGTTTACAAATAAGTTTTTTTATTTGTAAGTTAATATTTTGTTTTTATTCCAGGGAGAGGTAAATGTTGGCCAAAATATGCTACCGATGTTCCTAAAGACTGCTGAAAGCTTACAAGTACGGGGTTTAACAGAAAATAATACATTACACCCTAAGGTAAGTACATATTTATAAACTTCTTTTGACGGTCTCAATTTTTTTCTATTAACAAACGAACGGTATACATTGGGATTAGGAATTCTTTATTTAATTTCTGCTTTGATTTTCTTTAATCTAAATTAAATAATTGTTTGGTGATTTTTGAAGTTTTTCAGGCCATAAACAAAATTTTTAGGATTTGCTTATGGTTTTGACAGATTATTGGACGGCATTTGATTTCTGCACGATGACAGATTTAATGACGTCGTAATCGGAGTTTAGGCGCGAAAACTTTTTGATTGTTCACTTAACTCTGTCCTCCTTTTTTAAAGCCATTCAAATTCTTTTGATTTTTATACAATTTGTCTTACTATTTGGTAATAAAATTTTGTACGCAATTAAAAAGGGCGGAGGAGACAAACACAAAGACACATTATTTTGAACAAAATTTATTAGCATAACTAAGAGAAATAAGCCACGACGAATCGAACATGTTTAAGTATTGTATGTAGCGCCTTTGTCTATTTGTCAAATTGATAGGACGAGGTTTCTAATTTTTTTGCCTTGGTACAGCCGTTAACAAAAGTGTTTGTCCTGTACAAAATGCTAATTTTATTTTACAAGGACTTTTCCGTATAACCAGTGATTTCGTCATTGAAATAAACTGTAATTATGTTATTCTCTTCCCTTTAAAAAGTGTTTGTTAGTTAAATACAATCCATTCATTTGCATCGGCTGTAGCTTAAAAATATAACTCTTAAGCGTAATCGTATGTAAATTAGTTGGACACGTTGACAAAAGCCATGAAGATTGAACTAGTTTCAGTACAAATATAAATAATATTTTCAGGGCTAGCTAAGGTAGACTGGATACTAGCTTATCCCAATTCTGCCAAAAAAAATATTTTAGTTATACGCACATAAAATATATAATCATTGTTTTAATGAAAATTGTTACATTAATGAGAAAAACCTTTTTAATGTTAAATTATGGATTTACAAACAGTTCCACGCGAGTGTACGTAAATTTGCAGAATAGTGCGTGCCAGACAGACGAGTCTGGCACGCTGGCGTTGTTTAGTAGGTACAGTGGCCTTGAAGATTTGGTGAGAGCACAATGACCCTTATACGAATTTATTGCTACAGTTTGTAGTTAAATATTTTAATGGCGTTCGGCCTATTTTAAATAGTAAATCGCTTTTCTATACTTAAATATTTATTTGTCACATGTGATTATTCAAAACAAATATCAGATATTAATGTAGAGTTTTGTAAATGTTTACCGTTATAAATCGCCACTGCCAATTATCAAATCAAGGGCGTAGAACGGTCTAGAAGAAATGGCATGAAACTCCGCTACGCTCGCCTATTTTATTTTAATCAATGCTTGTAAGGAACTGCAACTAACTTTGCTGCACATGACATGGGATGAGTTATTATTTATTACAAAACATGATGTTAGGTTAGTCGAAGTACTAAACATCGTTTACTCTGTTCAGCAAGAGTTTGAGCTATGACGAATATTTATATGAAAATATAAATAATATATTCACTATATCGTTTTATTTTAGTGGTGTCTGGTGACAGATAACAGATGTTTTTTGCTCATTTTAGAAAGTCGAGAGACGTTAGAATACTCTCAAATACATACAATATGTTACCCATGTTATTAAGCACGGCCCGCGTGGTATTTTTTTTTATACCGTGTGTATCAAAATACCGTGGTATATTGGAAAATAAACCTTGCCAAAATGCATTTTTGCGACCTTTCAACGTTTAAATGAAACCATAATTCATTATAGACCTGCAACTTTCCTAGGAGGAATATCTATTAGTGATTAATCCAGTAGTTTTTGATTATATCGCGCACATAAAGACACATGCGATCGGGGACTTCACAATCTTTCAATAGAATGTCAGGTCAATAACAGTTATACCTGATCGATATAAAAAAACTATAATTTATGGTAGATAGCTTTCAAGCAGATAGTATGCAAAGTATATGCATAAACACGTGCATTTTACTACAGACTCGTTTGTGGACCGGTTCAAGTGACTGTCGTATTTGATGTCGCTAAAATTCGCGCTTTCTTGTATTAATTAGGATAAGAGCAGAGATAATGTTTCTATATGGTTTACTTGGTATATTGACTGCCCCAATCGATTAAGATATAACTTAATTGTACCCGATTATAGAATTCGTCTGAGCTGTTTCATATTTAGGTACGAACTATGCTCCAAATAAATTGTATATCTATATAATAAGCAGAACGTGAGCCTCGACTTTCTAGATTATCTCTTTCGAAGGAAATTAGCAAATTAGAAGTTTTTTAATCACATAAAAACACACACACACACTGCACATACCCACACACCTCAACAAGCAAATTATTAGTATATTGTCGTTAGTACATAATGTTCGTCGTATATATGTAATTCGTTTTGGCTATATTGTTATTAAACAGTTAAAAATAATATTCTTAAGCTTCAAGTTGAGCCTCTTGAGACAGCGTCGTCTAATGTTGTCGCTGATGATTAGGTTTTACTGATGGTTTTTCATATAGTGCCAGTACGATCACGATACGGGGATGCTGTATGTAATTTCTATATATTTATCTCAATATGTTTTTGAGTTATAGGGTAGAGTTGCCTGTCTGATGCAGGTCAGAATAAACTTGGCCCGCTATAATAGACCCATTGGGGCTTCGACCCTTAATGAGTCTTGGCCTCAGAAGACAGCATCTGTTTGCTTGATATTCTTCTTTATTTGACACACCTAATCCGTTTTTAAGACATTTCATTTATAGATAGAAAAATTAGCCAAGTCATTAATTCAGAGATTATGCGCTAAGTACGTAAAAATTCAATCTAAAAAATTTGACAGGAGTTATGAGACAAGACAAATAATCAGTAGCCTAGCGTACCACTACTGAATCAATGCGCAAGCAAATAATGCTTTGAAAACACGCGGCGTTATAAAACATAGATTAAAGTTAGAACCGTATTTGTGGCGATGTTATTTCTATATGAAAATAATTTACTTTTAATTTAGTTACCATGGTAACTAATACTTATAATAACTTAAACTTAGTAGTTTTGTAATTGGGACGAATAAGTATGATCAAAGATTCGTGTATTGCAATAAACCTTGTTTTAATATTTATGCGAAATCGTCTCCAATTCTTGCCTAATGCAAAAAATATTTAAAATTTGCCATTTACCACAACCGGACCTTCTTAGGAATTAATTCGTTTGCCCTTGATAAATATTATGAAACGATTTGAGTCTACACTTATTTAGGAAAATATCTATTTATTCATGTTTAGTTTGTCACAGATAAGTAAAAATATTTATATTTTTTTATTTATAATATAAATGAAGCTAAACTGTTGAAGTTCGAAAACATAAAACGTTGATAATGTTCGTGTATAACAATTTAAACTTTTCCCGTTTTAGAAAAAGCACTAAATTACACCTAAGCCAGTAATGAAGTTATTGCCGTTTTAAATCAAAGTATGTTTAAAATCCGTTATGTGTATTAAACAAGCGGTCGTAGTTACAGCTTAGCGTAAAGAACGTAGATTTCGTGATGCCGACGCAAGATGCATTTGTGCCGTTACCGCTCGCATCGTTCAAAATACCGTATATTGCTCGTACATGTTTTCTTGTATCCTTTTTTATTGCCCTTAACGGTATGCAAACATCATATAGAAATTAATATAACACAATATTTCGTACTTCATTTGTTTAATAAGTATATTGAGATTTATTTTGGACTATTACACACGAGACTGCGTCCACGAAGGGATTGAAAAGCGTAGTCTAAACGTATTTTAGTACACGTAGGAACCGCATTAAAATCGAAGCGAAATCCGCAATAAGCCATTGAATTTCAGCTCAGTATGATTTATATTTTTATTTTCTAGAATTGAGCTTGACCAAACTTGTATATAGCTAAAAAAGGAACAAGGTTTCAAATAAAATGTACACCAAACAACTCATATTTATAGACGGAAGAGCGGTCAACGCCATCCGTGAGTGCGGAGAACCTGTCATCACGTGGGGACTTCGCCACTCCGCCAGTTGCGCATGCGGCGGGGGCTCCGCTGACGCCACTTGGGGCTCCGCAGCCCGCGCCCCACGCGCCCCATGCCGAAAAGAGACGCAGGAAGAACTCCACTGTGCCAAGAGAAGATATCGATTTATCTTATCGTCCATACGAAGTAAGTGGTTAATCACAAGAATTTCACGACACCACGACCACGATGTATTTGTTTTTTAGTTCAGGTACCTTCCATGTTTCTATCTGCTACATTGTATACACAAATAAAAATATTTTTCTTCTATATAAATTATAGGGCCATTTAAAAGGAAATTTATTGAGATTTAAATTCGAAATTCGAAAATTACGAGTTATATAGAACATTTACTATTGACAGATTCCCATTTCAAAATCCATTAAAAACGACCGTTAAACTCGTTCTAAAATTAAGTAAACAACTAATAGAATTGGAATAACGCATTTGCATTTTGCAATCCATATTTTAGATAACATTTCCACTTTGGTTTTAATATGTAAAATAAATCTCTCAGTTTTTTATTGAGCGAAGGTACACGCTAGATGCGGATGTAACTGGTTTTTACATAGCATAACAGTATCGAGAAAAGTACCTAACAGTATGTTCTATTTAAAATCTAGGATCAGAAATAGACTCGTACAACTTTGTAATACAATATTTCATAGAATTTTACGTATTCATAATTCAAAATTAAAATAATTTAGGATGGCATTTTTAACGTCATTATCTTACGTAACACACATTATCTCCGTATAAGTTTGACGACTCATTGGTCTAGTGGTTAGTACCCCTGACTGCGAATCCATGGGTCCCGGGTTCGATCCCCGGCTGAGACAAACATCAATGTGATGAGCATTTGGTGTTGTGCTCAGGTCTTGGGTGTTTAAATATGTATTTATATGTCTATTTATCTATAATATGTATGTATATCCGTTGCCTAGTACCCATAACACAAGCTTCACCAGCTTAGCGTGGGACTAGGTCAATTGGTGTGAATTGTCCAATCATTAAAAAAATAAGTACCTTTAAAAACATGTTATTTCTCAAAATGATAACACAAATTAGGCTATTATATACAAAAAAACTGTTTTATTAAAGGTCTTATATAAACCCAAATAAAAGATACATTGAGTGTATAGCGGCCTAATTTAATTGCTGTAATTTTAGAACGGATTTAGGTCGTTTAGCTTTTGTTTTTATGAAATATGAGTTACGAATTCCTTGCGAAAATGCACATTACGTCACACAGCCGTTTTTAAAGAATCACGCATTAGATTCGCCCTTATACATGTCTATAACGTTTCATAACATTGCACTCGAAGATAAAAGCTTTGGTGTAAGTCACGCGTGACTAAATAAGCTTTTTGCATCCGGCGCGTTGTCCATAACGTCCATAGTTAGCGTAGATTATTTTATGTAGCGGGTAAATAGGCACCCTATAAGGTCCTATCTCCGCTTAGCATCAGCTGGATTCGCGATAATTTATTGCATTTAATTTACGAGAAGAAGACAGACCTTTGTCGAGTTCTCGAAAAAAATTTCTCTCTTATATGGATGTCTAAACGAGATGTAAGCATGTTACAAAATTTGAGGTTATGATTGCGCTCCAAGGCGCGCAGTCTTTTGTTTTACAAAGCCTTAAAATTTCTGCCTGTGTCAAGGGTCAAGTGAAGAACAGCAAAGGCTCAACGGGCAGTGGCTCGGAGCCTTCGACGCCGCCGCCCGCCCACGCGTTGCACGGACGCGCGGCAAGATCGCCCGCCCACACGCCCCTCGTCAAACAAGAGCCGGATTCACCCTACCATCACACGATGCACCCCCCAAACTACGACCAGACTCATCTGCCGGTAAGATGCGGACATTTTGCTTCTGGTGACACGTATTACAAAACTTGACTTGCAGATCCATTTCTTACTGTATAATAATTATTAATTTAAATTATATTGCTTAATTTCCGATTGGATATAGTTAACCTATTTAATCCTGTGTGTTTAACCTATTTAATCGTGTGTATTAAGTTAATGAGCTTGTCAGAAATTAGATTCTGTGTTGGTGATTTATAAAGTACAAAATTTATTAGTAAATTAATAACATTAATATGTCAATTCAAAGGAAGTAGTGCCAAAACAAATATGAATAAATCATTATTTAAATCAGTCGTCTGTAAATTCAGCTTTATTTAAATTTTAAGCATACACATACCTTTCATAAAAAAATACGTGTTAATTGTATCGTCGTTTTTTAATTTCATAGTTACATTACTAATCTTTTATGATAATTAAGCACTATACAAATGTCTAATTGAATTTTTCGTGAAATTTTAATTATTGTACATTAAAATTTACCTTGATAAAATGCAGTTAAGGTATCTTTATAATTCACAAGCGGCTTAATGGTTGCCATAAAATATTCCAGACAATGGAACGCATGAACGAGATGGCGGTGATGCTCACTCCACACCAACTCGCAAATGAATGCAACGACACAGAGCAGATCATGCCTCCTCACCCTGACCAAACAGACACCATTGATGGTAAGTGCACCTACCGAAACACGTTTACTAAGAGAACATACCTTTTTGTCCTGTAGCTTTGTGCTGTCTTTATGGTTCTAAATCATTATATACTTCTAGTAATTGCTAAGGAAATATCATTCGCAGTTTATTTTCCACTATCCTAAGTTTTCGGCAAATTAAAGCTTCCAATTACCCTCTTAATCATTTTAAATTAAATATATAATAAATGTGTTTTATATAAAAAAATAATGTGTCAATTGTTCCTACCCGAAAAGATATAATACATTTTAACAACACGCTGTCACAATTTACGCGAAATCTAAATAAATGAAATAATTTTGAAAAAAACTAAGATGCATAATTCTCATCTATATTTCATCGTTTTTTTCCGGAAAAAATAAATAATAAATCTAGGAAAGAATAATTGCTAATAAATTATTTTAAATATTTTAAATACACTCCTTAATAAACACAATATCAATATCCCTTGAAATAGACAGTACAAAGCTAAATTTATTACCATCAAAGTCAAAATTATTATGTATATTGAAGTAAACGAGCTTGTTTGGTGGTCGATAAATGTAGAATTGAAATGAGATCGCTCCGTTATAACGTTCCGTTTATCGCTTTATTACTTGACCGTCATTTGCAATACGGAACGTCCAATAACGAAGATATCTTCGCTTATTATGATTTTTATTTGCATTAATTTATAAATGATTAGGAATTCGTCCTAAACATTTGTAATCGCATGTTCTGCCTTCGCATGATTTGCCATTGCTTACTAATTTGCACTAACCATACTAAGCGCTTTTTAATTTCATTTCTTTCGCTTTTTTAACAATTGAAGAAATCGGTGTGAATATTCATATCGATTGTCGATTTGGCGCCCCCGAGGGACGTAGGTCGTACGTAATTCACGAGACAAAGCGTTTTCTGCATGTAGATAGGTTTAGGGAAGCGAGTGTTTGCAACGTTTGGAGTGCCTTGTAGAAGCCTAACCGTAGGCTGAAGTGCTAGCATGCTATACAGTTACTATGCAGCAGTCAAGCACCGTAATATCTTGCAGGTGAAAGCTATGGCGACGAAAACTATAAACCTCGTGACGCGTTCGCCCAGAACACGACAAATATAGAGAATATCGTGAAGTCGTTTAAAATTGCAATGAATCACAAGTCATATAATATGCCGATGTCGTGCAAAGTATGCGGTAAACGTGTCACAAATATAAAGAAACATATGAAATCTCACAATCCCGAAAAGCACAAGTGCCCTTTGTGTCCCATCATACTGACGCGAGCTGATAATCTCAAACGACATCTCCGTATGAAACACTGTTCTGTTCTAGGTTCGAATAATATTGCCAATATACAGACCAATAGTTGATAGTCAATAATAATATCTTAGGTAGGCAGTTACCATTGTGGGAAACCAAAAATTTAACTTTCTAACCTTCGGCTTGTTTGGTACTAATCGAGTCCTTCGTCAGCCTTAAACTTAATTATAATTATTAGATGTAAGGTGTGGTTTGTTTTAGCAAAATTTATCTCTCTCATGTACTAACCAATTAATTGTACATAGGTTTTCACGTGACTAACGTATTCGCTTTAATACTAATATTCATCATGCCAAATAAAGCGATAATTTCCTTGAATTCCAAAGTTTCTAAACCAATGTTAATTATGTAACTTAGAATTAATTATTGTATGTGATACTTACAGTACAAACTCAACGTGTTAAAGAGGGTCTGATATCATTCGAGTAAGATTTTTTGGGTTTTGAATATTTTATTGATTTTTAATTTTTAATTGAATATACATAATGAAATCTGGCCCCCTAGTATTAATCATGATGATCTCTCTCTGTTCCTCGTAGTGATTGTAACAAAGACACCTATATTTCGGTTGTGTCAAAGACTGATTTTGCTTTTGTATTCAGGTACCCTTTAATATTAATTTATTATCATTACTTTACGATTAGTTTGTATGTAAGACAATCGTTAATGTGTGTTCGTTGCAAATATATCTCTTTATTTATATCTTTTCTTTTCATTTTCATCCTTATTTCCATGCTTTTATTTGTTTTGATAGCAGATCTATCGAGAGCTGCCTTGTGTACTCAGCTTGGTGACAGCTACTAATAATGTTCCATAATTAACAATTATCACAGACAATTAAACACCATTTCTTCAGCATTATCGGTTCATTTCTGCATGAATCTATTGAAAATCTTAAATAATTTCTAAACAATAACTGCTAAGTACAGCTAAATATTTGAATCTCTTACTACAAATAAACTGCTTCATAGCGCTAGGAGAATCATAGCATAGCTCTAACAAAATACTCTTAACGCTTTCATATAGTGCTAATTTTGTTATATTTTTAAGTATATTTCCATTTCACTAGTTCATTTACAGTAGAATTTAAACGGAATTCATTTTGATATATGTAAATTTTACTCCCTAAATTCTACTGTATTTCTTATAACGTGTTTAACATATATAATGTTATAAATAAATTATCCGCTCCCCTGAAAGTGCGGCAGGGCCAACATAAAAGTCGAATATCGTATAAAATAAAACCGTGGCCCTGCGGCATTGGGGGCGCGGGACGCGACGGGCGTGGGTGAGCCTAAGGGGTTCGGGGTTCGCTGGAGTGACAGTCGGCTGGTTGCAGGCTCGAAGGGCTGGCACATGCGGCTCACGTTCGAGCGCGTGGCGGGCGCGCTGAACCTGCACCGCTGCAAGCTGTGCGGCAAGGTGGTGACGCACATCCGGAATCACTACCACGTGCACTTCCCGGGCCGCTTCGAGTGCCCGCTGTGCCGCGCCACGTACACGCGCTCTGACAACCTGCGCACGCACTGCAAGTTCAAGCACCCGGCCTACAACCCCGACACGCGCAAGTTCGACGCGGCGCCGGCGCCCACGCAGCCGCCGCACGCGCCGCTCTTCGCCAATCACCTCGAGGGCTCCTTCGACTGATTGTCCATGTGCTGGCTCGGCCTCGACGCTCTGTGAGCGCGCCCCGCCAGTCGGACTCTCCGCGTGTCAAACTCTTAACAGACCGTCTCGCGTTTCCTATCTAGGATTAAGCTACAGTGCTATCGCTCGTCGGCGGTGGCCTCTCGTTTTAGTATTGTCTTGGTTGTGCATTCGACTTGCCCCAGTGTGACTCTTCGCGGCGGGAACTCGATTCCTCCGCGGAATAATCTTATCGGTCGGCGTCTGCGACGCTCTGACCTATATGAGTAGTTAAGCAAATTTTTTTTCTATACCAATCGCTATACGGGAACGGGCAAAAGCAATAATATGATGTTAATTTTATTACCATATTATTTTTATATTGTATCTATATATACATCTTAAGCTATTAAGAATATACACTTATACGAGTAGCGGTTCGACCGCGAAGCGACGCTGGCTATGGACGGCCCCGGCGACACTCGCCGAACGTCTTATTATATTTATTCATTAGATAGGAAATTATGAGTTTCCTGTAGCTAATTATATTTATGTTCATATATCCTAAGGGTGGTACGGAACGACATCGGGAAAGAATATAAAGAACTGGCAAGAGATTGTGATCTGTCGTTGGTCATCGACATATAAATATTGACTGAATCTCAGTGTAGATGCATTTTTAACTCTATGAGGCCTTTGAAAGATGGAGAAATTAGGGATTTGTGATGTATTATGGATAGCGCCTAAGGAATCATACGAAAAGATTTTTTTATACTAGACTAGTTGATCTATTTACGGAGATTGTTTTTTTATACTTAGATATATTCTATTGTCTGATTTAATATAATTTTATTGTTTGTTTTTATTGATTCATCATTAATAGTAACATGAGCGGTTTATTTGCGTTGAAGCTAAGAGTTAATATTTGAGTGGAGATGTTAAGGTGTTCTATAATTTAATCGTTGGTAGGTGTTTAGTTGTACTGTACGGTGCTTGAGGTCCAAGACCTCTGTCTTACGTTAAGGTAGGCTGGATTTCGGAGGTTGCATTTAGTAACTTACGTCGGCATTCTACGATTGGGACTAACCTAGCGTTATATGTATTTCTCAATTAAGGTATAAGATTGTTACATTTTTAGCAAAACACTTTAGAGTGGTACGGTAACTGAAATGTGATAAAATGGAATGGTGCTAGAACCAAGGGTGTTACGCTACGATTCGACTCCTATTGTAATATTAATTAATGTTTTATGATTAGTTTTTTTGCGTAAATGTAAGGCATCTAGCATCCAACTGAGGTCGCATCTTGCTGGACGGGTAGAGATACGTTACACACCTAGAGATTACAGTATCACTCGAGATTTTATTCATTTTTTCAGACCTCTTCGAATTTTACTAATGCATATTATGAATAGTTCGTTAAGAGGCCCTTCGCATAAATCGATCTTTACCAAACCAAGAATGTTGATGTACCGCATCCAAATAGCCGTGATTCTCCGACGAATAATAGCTAAGTGGCGTTATTGCTGGATTAGTAGCTGTGAACATGCAACTCACTTGTGCAATTTTTTAACATAGTCATAACTCGTACCTAGATTATACAATCTATTAAATATAGGGGCCCACTTGAAAATAAGCACTAAGCTCCAACGTTCCTTACGGATTTTATATATAATAACCAAAATGTTACTTCCACAAAGATTTATATTTATTTTTAAGATTATCAAAGATTTTTATATCCGTTCATATATTGTGGGCGCTTATAATTTGATAGCATTTCATACTCAGTGCAATATTACTAGTTATTTAATTACGTAACCAAACTAAATGATATTTTAAAGGTAATTAATGTCTTTTAAAGAGGATACCTACCTATTTGTATTTACATATAAGTGATCTACTCTCAATTTCTACGTCTACATAGCGAATGAAGTTTGGGTTACGGCATTGTACAGGTTTTATAGCTGGTAATATTAAAATTAGCTTGTTTGTCTCTGCCAATCGTAATAGTTGTTTAATTAATAATTTATAATCGCGCAAGTCGAATCCTATTTGGAATAGATCATAGCTATCCGGTCGGGAGCTGCCCTTTCGTTCGGCGTTAAACGCTTCTAATCGTCAATGCATTTTTTTAAATATTTACTGTCACTCGAGACCAATTTTTTTAATATAGAATTTGCTAAAGCAAATCCATTAGTAACATAGATTATTTTAGGTTAGGATACTATGATAGTGTCTGGCCAGAATATTTTGGAGTATCACATCGTTTGGCTCAGAATATATCTCCCTTTGATCTCTTTTTTCAGCTTTCAGCAAGTGTGCAACTTAATAATACGATAAACAATTAATCGAACTTAATGAAAGCTTACTTTATGCCATATGGAATTTTAAACATAAGGTTAACGAATTACTAAAATTAGTCTTATGAGAATGGTCTTATCGACCTAGTCACTTTTTTGGCCAACCTAATTGACTATTCCAATTTATATTATATTAAACTTTACCTTAATAATATCGCGAGGATGTGATCTTGTTTGAATCAATGGAGTGCAGGATTAGCTCTGGGTTATTCAGGATAGCAATGGTCTAGTTATGTTCTATTTTGTTTATTAATTTTAACGTTAGCCAATTTGTTATAGTGTCGTGTATCACAATAGTGTTATACTAATAGAAGCGGGGGCGTCAAATCTACGCAGCTCTGACGAAGTCGGGCTTGTTATATTTTTACATTCAATTTTTATGAGCGATTTGTTGTTTATAAATATTTTTGATGTCTTGGTTTGATGCCTCCATTAAAACTTTAATTTTAAATAATTTTGTTTTATGCAAGCAGTTAATGCAATTTTTATTTCACATTGTTTGATGTTATGTAATGCAATTTTAACATGTTGCAAACTCCTGCATTTATCTGTTGTATTTATTACTAATTTTTACATTAAATTGTGGTATGTTACAATTCGTGTAGTTTCAGTTGTGCGTGTCACATGTTCCATCCCATTGCGAAGTGTTATATAAGTATATACATAATATAATGGCAAATCGTTTATACACAGTTTGCCGTCATATTACAATTACGGCAATGCTTCTAGTTGTAATAAACAAATGCATGCGTTCCTAATTCGATGTCGCAACTGAAGGTATTGCTAAACTAGTCTTAAGGAATCGAGCAATAAATAGCCAAAAGTTTTCTGATCTTGTACATATTTTAATGGCAACACACTTTAAAATTATTCCTCATAAAATTACTCGTTTTATTGTATCCTATGCTAAGAAAAGTCCTATTTAAAGTCGCCTAAGTATTCAGCCTAGAAATAAGACTGTACGCCGTGGTGACGGGCAAGCGCGTTTATTGCAGAGCGGCCTCAGGTGCCGGCGGCGCAGTACTCGTATCACAGCATGTTCGTAGCGGCCACCGAGAGCACCGCCCTCTGGCGGTGCAAGTCTTGCGGCAAGGAGGTCTCCAACCGCTGGCATCACTTCCACTCGCACACTGCCCAGCGGTCCCTTTGCCCCTACTGCCCGGCGACCTACAGCCGTATAGACACCTTGCGCTCTCATCTGCGCCTCAAACATGCCGCGCTTCTCCTCAAACACTAAACAACCAACCGACGCCACCCGACCTCTATCTTGCTCTTTTGTTAGTGATCTGTCAATTTTGACGGCTTATTTCTTAGTTAGTGCACGTTTTCGTGCTATTTAATGTTCTGTAGTTAAGTGTGTGTTATTAACAGGGTAATTAACGAATTGCTAATCACCAGTTTGAAGGCGCTGTGAACTTCACAGGTTGCTATGAACGAAGTAGACTTAAGAATACAAGTGTTTCAAGCTGTGTTATATTTTTTGAATACTCAAAATTTACGAATGCGAGCATAATTGCGTCGAGTATGAGTTGCTATATAATTTGACAAGGGGAAAATAATTTGCAACTGAGAAATACATTTTTACGAATAAAAATGTAAATATACAATTTTCTAAACAATTTATTAAAAATACTATGATTTTCAAAAAAGCTCAGGAAGCGCTGTTTAAATTTTACAATACATTAAATTGTATTGTTGGTCGTAAGGATTACAGACTATAGGTACTATTAGTATATTAACATATATCTAATATGGATAACTTTTAATTAATACTTTACCTTGGAACACATGTATTAACCATCTGATCTCTGTTATCCGGACATAATTATTGTAAATAAAATTTATTTATATACATGCAAAAATATTTAAACTTTAATTTAGATCTAAAGGATTTGCTGTATTATAGGCACGAGTTTACTAAACTTAATTTTGTACAGATGTATAATTGGTGTTTTACATGTAACTTTGAAGTATGCGAAACTATTTATTGGCTAAATATTGGGAATGAAACGCTAAGACTGAAACGGCAACAACTTGTGATTGACGTAAACTGAGGAGTTTGGTCTGTAAATATTTAGATAAATTAATCAAAATTAATGTATACTCTTTGCTCCGAGATCATGTTTAATGTGCGTATCGTGTTACGGAGCAATTTTACAAAAATTTCTTAAGAAGTTATTCCAAATTATATTTTTGTAAAACTATTATCTGCAAAAACTGCATTATATTAGGTGTTTATGTATTAGCTTATATCGGTCCAATGTCGTTCAAATTGTATAGAATAAAGTGCGTCGTGGCGCGCTATCATTTGTGTATAAATCTTTCTCAGATCTCAATATAACATTCGATACATCCATATAGTCAGATTTAATCTTCTTAATACATAATAAGTGTTTAATGTTGAGTCCCAATCTAAGAATGTAGTTAACAAAGGTTTCATAGAACGGAATAGGCAACATTTTTTTCACTCTAATAATAAACAATTGTGTCAACTAAAACTCTAAGATGATGTTTCTATTCTATGTTAATGTTGCTATAATAGTTATAAGGCAACCTGCATTTTGTAAATATGTCATTAAATGTAAGAAATGGAAAGGTGTTTTCATTAAACATTTAAACACAGGAAATACTATATACAGAAATTTATTGCACCGATTTAGGAAAGATACACGCGTCATGTTTGTAATTAATTAACAATTTTAAAAACATTGCACACTACTTATAGCTATTTAATGAAAATAAATAGGAATGCATACAACTTATTCCTTTAAAGAAATAACACTTTAACAATCAAACGAATAAAACGTAGATACAAAAATATTGATTATCTGCTGTTTTATAGCTCTATATAAAAATGAAAAATATAATCGTGGTTTGTGCCGTATTTTCAAAGGGATTATGTACTTGCTCAAAGCAAATGTTTTGGGAAACTTTTTAATATGGAGTTTGTACACGATTCGTACAGTTGACAAAACCTATCAAATTTCTCAGATTAAGTTCTTCGAAGACAATTGTATGCTCCATTGATGAAGGATCCTATTGAGTGGTATAATACGTTTCGCGTAAGTAATAAGAAAGATTTTTCACCATTCCAAGTTTAGGTTTATTTGACGATAGTTAAAGTTTATTTATTTAAAATTGGTACTTCTTGTTGAACTTAAGTATTAACACACATCGTACAATTATAATTATTTTACATTCCCTTGAAGAATAATACAAAAATACAATCAGGAAAGTTGGATGGCTACGAAATTAAAAATAACTGAATTGTACAAGAACTTCATCGAAGCATACGTAGTAGACGCACACAGTCATGTCATGGTTAGGTTATATATAAAGGAGTTATTTGGATATAGTCGTGGTTGCTGTTTTCATTTTACTTCAAGTTCTAACATCAAAATCCAATTAAGCAAATATTAGGCAATAGAACCTAACAATTCTAGGTCAAGAGTAAATAAACAATTAACTTAGGTTTACATTCGAATTAAACATGGCGAAATATGGCAAGTTTAATTCCTAATACTAATCTATATCAATACATCCAGGCATGGTACACACTCAAACTTATAATTAGGTTGTAACTAAATCACAGTTGACTTACGACTAATGGCTAATTGTGTTAAAAGATTCTTTTTTCAAATTATTTTCACCTAAATAATCATGATAAGTTCGTAATAGATTGAGTAGTTGATAAGCTTTGTTTTCGTAGTTCTTACTCCTACCAATCGGAAACGATTTTTTTAAACAGGTCTTTATCAAAATTCTTTTCGAAGTGTATACAATTACAAAGTGAAACAAATTTATATTTATACAATGACTCAATGGATTTGTTGTTATTTTTCTTGTAACCTTTCCACGTTACCGCTGGACCCAGCAGATTGTATAATAACCCCGCCATTACCTATTGCTCTTCCTTCAATTTCACTCTTGTTTTCTGTACTCGTTTCTTCTTGAACCATAGTATCAGGTTCGTCTTCGTTATCTATTTTCTCTGAGGCGGCGTTTTTATTTTTATTTTTCTTAAACTGTTCTTCCATCTCCTTGAATTTTAAGGTTAGGTATCTAAAAATGTTTAATTAAATTAAATATTACAGGTTTTAACAGAAGTTACTATCACTTCTCAAATTACTTTACACTAACATTTACGTGTAATATAATACCTACTTCAGTCAACCTCAAATATAATACGCATTTAAACATTATGATTGTGAGTATCCAATAAATAGGTATTTAAGTCAATCTATGGGCATGTGTTAGATAAAACACACGTTAGAGATTTTTGGTTCTAACACATGCCTGTTTCCTCACGATGTTTTTTAACAGTGCACAAAAAGCGTTCACCTATACGTACCGTATTGTACGTGTCCTACCTTGAACAGTCATAATAATGCAATAGTAACTTACTTATCCACTAAAGGACCGCTGTAATCTTCAGGAAACTTAGGAGAATGAGGTAAGATAAATTTATAAAGACTTTCATTCAGAACATAAAGCTGAGCTGTAGACGCACAACGGACATTAAACCACCAGTCACATGTGAGACCAGCCTGTGAGAATATCGTTCCATTGGGGCACAAAAACGACGCTTGCCCGCCATTGAGGTCACAATAATGCCAGACCTGCAAAAAGCGTTTAATCATAGTTTTAACTGTTATTTTTTCTGTCAGAACTCAGACAGTACATTAATAGTTTTTATTGTTTCTGCCGACTGGAACCTTGAAGCTTCAGGTTCAGGCTGGATTACTGTGAAATGAACTTATAGAATAATGAACCTATTTAAGCATCTTATTTGTAACTTAAACAAGATTATAATGCATTTTTGTCATACCTGGCATCGTGTTTCAGGATCAGCGAAAAAGCCCTTATACCGTTGGGTTTTGCAGTCGAATTTCGTTGGCGGAATAACGGTCAAAATCGGATAGTCCACTCCAGGGCGTCCTGGTGTCCCGCCCTCTTCATCAGAATGTATGGGTTGAGGAAATTGCTGGCTGCTTCCACTAGATGGGTATTCTGAAATTTAATATGTCAAGTATAGTTATATTTTTATTATATCAATGAAAAACAAGTATTCACATACATACCGTCCAAATGTTGGGAAGGCGAATTAACTTGTGCTAAATATGGTTCTTCAAAATCGACGCTTTGAGGGGGTTGTTCCACTGCAGCGTGTGAAACAGGTGTTGGGGTAGTATGGACTAATTGTGGAGCTTCGAAAGCTTTTGGTGTGCTTAAAACAGGTGGTTCGATTTCATTCTGTTGCGCTCTTAAAGTATTCAAAACTTGAAGTAACGTTGTAATTGATGCACTGACATTATCCTTTGTTATGGGTTTGGGTATAGATTTATTAATCTGTAATGAATTCAGAAGGTCGGCTAAACTTGCTGTTTTTGTATTTTCGTTGTGCGTTGGTTTTGATATATAAGACGATTCTTCTAAAATATATTGATAACTCGGCTTTCTAATTACAACATCTTCTGGTGGCCTTTCCAATTTTGGTGGCTGTTGATGATATACTTGAGTGTATTGTGGTCTTTCGGTTGATAGCGGCCTAGATGCTATGATTGGCTGAAATCCACTTTCAATAATAGGTTCTGCCAGTGGTGCTACAGGAGTTTGTTTTTCATAGTACATTTCAGATATTGTTGTTGGTGGTCTCTTCGGCCGATATTGTTCATTGTCGTTTATGTAAATAAATTGTGGCGGTGTTGGCTTCGGCCTGGGTTTAATATAAATAGGTTCTTTTGGAGCATGTTGAACGTTGTAATGGTTGACTGGCTCTACGTTCTCATATTGTGTGAAAGTTTTGATTGGAGGTGACTGCTCGTAGGGAATCAGTTTATATTTTGGTGCAACCTCCTTTTCTGATAGATAATATTGTACATTAGCATCATCATTTTGGTAAAAATTTAAAAAGGGTTTTCTTGTTTGTTGTGTGAATGGTGAACTTGGGGCTTTGATAGGTTTGGCGATGAATTTTTCATACTCACGCTCTCTGTCTTCGTGGAAATCGTGGTCAACTAAAAGAGGATTATAATTTGGAGTGTACTTATTTGATGGTTGGTAAAATGTAGGGACCTCTTTTAAGTACAATTTGCCTGGATAAGCTGATGCGATATTGTGTTGCGTTAATCGATTTCCTTGATACCTAGGTATATTTTTATGTCTTAGAAAGGAATTAATTACTCGTTCTTCTCTCTGATTAGGATTGATGTTGCCAGTTTCGATAATTTCTGCCTTATCGACTTCAACTGACTTTCCTTGATCCTGTTGTGGCACAGTGGACGGAGTTGCTATATCGTTTGCATAATAGAATGTCATGTACGGTATTAACCTTCGATACCTTTCATTTATTCCTATTTTGGTTGAGTTACTTTTGATGACCTTATTAGTTTTGTATTTGATGACGCCTTCTGGTCTTGGTGTTATGGGGTTGAACTTGTTTGATTCTATAAGCATATGTCTTGTTTTAGTTTCTGGACTATTTCCGTTTGATAACACTGTAACGGAAGTCACAAAGGCTGGTATAACTGAAACAAACAACGCTTCCATTACTTTATGAATGCGAATGTGAATGATTTAGTTATGATGCTTTAAAAAATACAATGGTATAAAAATAACGCTGGAGTATCGATTTCATTTATTCGCTTTTATGTTTAGGATCATATAAAATAACTCGTACTCTACCACTGGACCCTGCCTAAGCCTATGCCCTGGCATTATTTTTAGTATGGCCACGCCAGTAGAGTACTTAGTGATTATGTAGATATTTCTTACATCGTATGCCGTCTTGAATGATAACATAGATATTTATAGTTAAGATAATTTAGCTAGCCTTGAAAATGCGACTGAATACAAAGATCCGTATCCAAGTTGTTAAATGTCAATCCATTTGTTGCGGAAACCTTAGTCGTCACCAACCTAATAACGCTATCATTTATACACATTTACAGTGGGAAATATTTTATTTATATTAAGAAGGAGGAGGATCTAAATTGGAGTTTTTGTTTTGAAATATGTACTTCCCAGGTGTTTCCATAACAGGGTCATGGTATATTGAAGAAAGCGAGGAAATTTTTAAACTTTTATTGACATATTGAAGGATACTTTTAGTTTGATTTAAACTAAAGAATGATATTTCTTAATGATTTTCATTTGTTTTAGGAAAGTATAAATAATAAATAAATCAGTGGCGCTACAACCTCTTTAGGTCTTGGCCTCAGATTTCTGAATCTGTTTCATGATCATTTTTAAATGTAATAGGCAAGTAGGTGATCAGCCTTCCAGTGCCTGACACACGCCGTCGACTTTCTGGGTGTAAGGCAAGCCGGTTTCCTCACGATGTTTTCCATCACCGCTCGAGCAAATGTTAAATGCGCACATATAAAGAAATTTCATAGGTGCACAGCCGGGGATCGAACCTACGTCTTCAGGAATGAGAGTCGCACGCTGAAGCCACTAGGCCAACACTGCTCAGTAGGAAAGTATAGTTTGGTGAAATCGAAATGATGAGGACCATAGGGGGCATCCATTATTACAATTCGTTTTTACACTAACATTTTAAAGAACCATACACTAATCGATACGTTGAGTCTTATTCAAATTAATTATTTATGTATTTGGAAATTCTTCAAATCTATATTTTTAATTCAGTTCTGCTAACGTGCTTTATATTATATTAATTATAATAAATATTTTTTATCCGTGAATGGCGGAATTGAAAGTAAACCGACAATTGTCGGACTTAGCAAGGTTAGACCCAATGTTGTTTTATAAAAATAATTGAGGCGAAACATAATTTAGGCTAAACTTAAATATTACCTCACGAATGTGGTTATATGTTTTAGCTACAAAGCGGAGAAGTAATGTCTATGCTTCTACGAAGTAATATAGACTACTGAACCGCTTTTGATACAACTTTCACCAGTGTTAAACTTGATAGTGTACCTATATGATATTGTCAAATTCGATTGTCATTTGCGTTACAACGCGAATTCAGTCACACGATATACGTTTTATTAAAAGTTCATGGAAATTAATTATTGTAAAAAGACTACTCTAGTTTAACTTGGCTCTAATATTCATAAATACTTTTGTTTGTACTAAAAGTAGAAATGCTAAGATATTTTGTTATGTCATAGAACTGACTGCCTCGGTATAATGTATGACCATTAGTTGTTGGGTAAAATTGTTTTTTTTTTTTTTTTTTTTTTTTTTCCCCCCCCCCCCCCCCCCCCCCCCCCCACAAATTTTTTTTTTTTTTTTTTTTTTTTTTTTTTTTTTTTTTTTTTTTTCTTTCTTTTTTTTTAAAAAAGATTGGGGGGGGGGGGGCGCGTTTTTTTTGGGGTTTACTGTTTCCCCCCCTTTTTTTTTTTTTTTTTTTTTTTTTTTTTTTTTTTTTCCCCCCCCCCCCCCCCCCCCCCCCCCCCCCCCCCCCCCCCCCCCCCCCCCCCCCCCCCCCCCCCCCGGGGGGGGGGGGTTTTTTTTCCCCTTTTTTTTTTTTCCTTTTCCCCCCTTTTTTTTTTTTTTTTTTTTTTTTTTTTTTTTTTTTTTTTTTTTTTTTTTTTTTTTTTTTTTTTTTTTTTTTTTTTTTTTTTTTTTTTTTTTTTTTTTTTTTTTTTTTTTTTTTTTTTTTTTTTTTTTTTTTTTTTTTTTTTTTTTTTTTTTTCGTTATATTTAGTGGAGGATATGATAAAGAATTTTTGATTTTTGTAGATCACTTTTTCAACCCCCCCAAACCCCCCCCCAAAAAACCCCCCCCTTTTTTTTCTTTTTTTTTTTTTTTGGTTTTTTCTCGTTGAGTAGTGTCAGCCAGTTGTCGAAAAACCAAAAAAAATACGGTTTCCTCCCATTGCTCACAATTTTCAACATAGGCCCCCCTCCCCCCCCCCCCCCCCCCCAGTGGCCCTGAAGACTGCATGGAGCTGGTATTCAGGTGGAGGTCCAAATGACCATTAGATTCTGTTGATGTGGGTGAAATTTGCGCTGGGGTTTGGGTGTGTGAAGGTTGGAATTTTTAAAAAAAAAAACCAAAAAAAAACACCAGAGCCCACAAAACAAACAAAAAAAGGAAAAAAAAGAGGAATGTTTGCACATAATTGCTTCCCCCAATTAATAGAGGCAGGGTCGATTCGAAGCAAGAACATAAGAAGAAGAACAAAAGAAGATATAAAGATCAGATTTAGAGCTTAGGCTTTTAGAGATAGCGCGCGCGATTTCCAACTTGCTAAGCGACGAAGAGTATATTACATTATTATGAGAATATCTCATTTAAGAAGTTAAATCTTTCGTATCCTTTAAATGAAGAAAAAGTTACTAAAGTTGTATCCAGTAATTGATTTACGATTATAAATTATCGTAATTACTTAATACTCCATGAACTTGGAATATCGTGACTCTTAAATGTCTTATAAGCCTCACGGCATTCAAATGTGATCTGTGGCATGACTGACTTGCAGTCACGATACAAATGAAGCGATTTTATTAAGCCATTCTCTAGAATTAATGTTTACAGTCCCGCAGCTCCCAATTGGATTAAGGCAGTTGTTAACACGCCGTTGATTTTAAGGTCAAAGACGTGCCAGTTTCCTCTCAATGTTCTCCTTCGCCGTACGCAACTAATGTTAATGGTGCGCATAAAAAAACGTTTCACAGGGTCTGAAGGCTTAGGCCTAGCTCAGCTTTAAGGTTCAGATGTAATGAATATCTTTTTCATTAATTATTTAGTGTGTATGTATGTTCCCTAGCCGACTTGAGATTTCACTCTTAGTTTTAGTTATTATTTTTTTATTTTGTGGTTGCTTGTTTATTTTTTTCCTTTTAAGCTCGCTAATTTTCTAATATAATGAGTGTGTTAAGTTTGTGATGTCATACTCTTGTAATTTGTATGCGTACACGTTATTTTAGAACTTGTAAATAAATAAAAAAATACCGAATGATCGCACACATATCTCTCTAATAAATATTCAATTTAATTTCTATTGTTTCCCTAATCCATATTTCTGAGTCAAAATATAGCAAGTTCAGTTGGAAGGTCATTCTACTATTTTTCCTTCTTTTTAAATATTATTAATGCAAAATAATGTCCCGTGAAACATTTTAATACAATAAACATTTTATTCAACACGTTTAATAACATGTTTAGTGAAGTAGTTTTATGTTTAGATTAAATTTATTACATTATTAACATAACTTTTCGCTTTACATTATTCATCTATCAGATAATCTCTCGCTGTCTAGTTTATAAGGAAGTTTATCTAAATGTGCAATGTTCGCGTAAAGCAAAAACAATAAGTTTTATATAAGTTGTTCGGTATGCTAAGAACGATTAGAAACAACGTGATCTAAATCATTCAACAAACACATAATCATTTTCTAATGTATTCTTAAGGGGCTAGAAAGTTATGACTATAATGCTTATGATATCTACAAGTCAATCAAGACGAACCAGTTTTTATCTTCATTTTTTACATCTTACCTAACCGTATGTAATTAGTATAGAACCATAAATAGTAACAGACCTTATCTTGATATAATTAGGTACAGGATGCGTCTGGGTAATAAATATTGATGATTGGCGTATCCAAGAGGAAGAGGTTGTTACATAATCCGCGTGAGAAATATTCAACCGTTACATTTCGGTGGTGATTCCTTCCCATAAAACTTGTTAACTGAGTATATGAATGATGACATAGATAGCTTAATTTGAGCAGCCTAAATTGCGTTATTTATAAAACGGTTTGAACAACTCAAGATGGATCTTGACAAATCTATTGTGTGATAGTGTGAATAAAAGGCTAAATAAAAATTTCTATTTTTATACTTATATAACAAACAACAACTCTATCTATATTATTAGTTATCTAGGAAAACAACACAAATCATGATTTATGTGTCCCTTACATGTTTTAGTTGTTTGTTCTTTTCTTTATTTTTAAATTATAGTATATCTCATGTAGTTAGTGCAAGTGGTACTTTATATTTCAGTTTATTTTTCTTTAAAAGGTTCCTTGGAAAAGATCACTCGAAAGAAATAAAGCCGCCCGTTGCTCCTACTATTTGATTATTATCATGTTTTTGTAAGTAACAAAATAATATAATAAATGTATGTTGCAAGTCTGGTATTTTTTTGCACTTTTTAAGTATTACGGGAAATTATTTGCACGCAAGTAATATAAAACAGCGTGATATGCTATCTTTAGAAAACGATCTATAGCAATTGTAGATATTTTTAACGACCTAATTACAGACCATAACATTGCATTGTCTTGTAGACAATAATTTTTATAACTATTAACTATTTTCATTGTTGGAGCGTGCTTTAAGTCATTCATCATTCTCTTTAATCGTAGGTTTTTTAAATCCAAAACAATACACATCCAACAGATTTAATGCTCAATTTGTTAAATAATTTATATTTTTTTAAATTACATAATAAAATAAATTCATTTAAGTTTCAAGTGGTAAAAGGTTTAATTTGGCGCCTGGAAGGTAGTACCGGTGACCCCAGAGCTGGTGAAAAAATTGTGGTGTGGTTAAAGGTAAAGGTACAT